AAAATTATTTTAAAATGATTCATAGTTAAGAATGGGGGTGATACACCAGAAAGTGAGAGGAATCTGCCCCAAGGAAGGGAAATTCAATCCTGGAAGAGTTATCATGGGGAAAAGGTGTCTTCACTGAAGCTTTATCACCACTCCTTGTTTCCACAACAAGCCCAATTTTTCAAAACTGAATTATCACAGGAACAGAAAGTGAGCTGAAATCTTCCGAAAAGGAGCACAGATAGCAAAATAAATGTTACAGCCGTGTTAACCCATCCTTTTGCTATACAAAGATATACAAATAGATAGCTAGAGAGCTATAACAACAACAACAACAACAACTTTCTTTATAACAACAGCAAAAACTCTTGCTGTTATCAAGACTTCAAAATCGAACTATAAAAACTCTGGGATAAACCAGTACAGGTGGTCCCAGTGTAATCAACACACTGGGTGACGAGCTAAAAGATCTCAGCTGGCATTTGGAAACAATAAACATTGACAAAATCACGATCTGTCAACTGCAAAAGGCCACTTTACTTGGATCTGCGCGCATCATTCGAAAATACATCACACAGTCCTAGACTCTTGGGAAGTGTTCTACTTGTGATTTTGTGATACGAAATCCAGCATATATATCTCGTTTGCTGTGACATACTGTGTTTTTGTGTCAGTAAAATAATAACAACAACAACAATTTTCTTTATATATCGCCCCATCTCCCCGAGAGAACTCACGGCGGTTTCCAACAAAAGGCAAAACTTTCAATTGCCAGAAAAGAAAACCATACAGCAAAATTAAACATCATAAAGCATAAACATAAAACCCTACTAAACAATCAACCAAATTTTAAAATCCAGTTTCAATTTTACTTCATCAGATGGATTCAAAATACTAATGGCCAAAATTACAGAGTGGACATGGCCAACTATGAAAAGGCTGGGCAAGGGCTAGTGCAACAGTGTATCATAGGGCCAGGATAAAGTGAAGAGCAGTGTCCTAGCTGATGGCCAAAGAAAGGACTTAGGGACTAAAAATACAGCATTACTACTCAATACTACACTTGGTGCTTGGACACGTACAGGCAGTCCCTGAGTTACAAACATCACATTACAATGATAATAATAATCATCATCATCTTTATTTATACCCCACCACCATCTCCCCCAATGGAGACTCGGGGTGGCTTACATATGGCCAAGCCCAAACAACAAATTACAATAAAATAAAATGCAAATTGAAATACATAAACAACAGCATGGAACAAAATAAAAACAGTAGGTTGTTGTGAATTTTTCGGGCTGTATGACCATGTTCCAGAAGCATTCTCTCCTGACCTCACAAACTCTAAGGATGCTTGTCGTAGATGCAAAACATCAGAAAAGAATGCTTCTGAAACATGGTCATACAGCCCGAAAAACTCACAACAACCTACTGTTTTTATTTTGTTTCATGCTGTTGTTTATGTATTTTAATGTGTTATATTTTTAATTATGTTGCTTGGGCTTGTTCCCCTTCGGAGAGATGGAGGCAGGGTATAAAAATAAAATTATTATTAAAGTTATTATTAAGATCTATAAAATAAAGTAAGGCATTTATTGACATACACAAAATAGTGTTTAAATTACAGTGTTAAATAATAATAATGATAATAATGATAACAATTTAATGTAAGCATTCTGGTCTATGTATAAATAAAAAATTAAAAAACTTACAAAACTTATAAAACTATAAATCACAGGATTCTACAGTATTGACTCATGGTTGTTAAAGTGGTGTCAAACTACATTCATTCCACAATGTAAATCAGGCATGGGCAAACTTTGGCCCTCCCTCCAGGTATTTTGGACTTCATCTCCCACAATTCCTAACAGCCTACCGGCTGTTAGGAATTGTGGGAGTTGAAGTCCAAAACACCTGAAGGGAGGGCCAAAGTTTGCTCATGCCTGATGTAAATGCACCATCTGACTTCTCCGGCTGAGAAAGCCGCATTGCAAACTTGCCCTCAAGGTAACACCTGCCTTGTTTTTCCATACGAAGGTTAAGGTGGGCTCACAATAGATTTATTTTTTAAAAACCCAAATTTATATATAGATTTCCCTTTCGTGCATATCTGAAATATTTGATGACAGAACCATCCAATTTTTTATGTGTCAGGAGTGACTTGAGAAACTGCAAGTCAGTTCTGGTGTGAGAGAATTGGCCGCCTGCAAGGACATTGCCCAGGGGACGCCCGGATGTTTTGATGTTTTACCATCCTTGTGGGAGGCTTCTCTCACATCCCCTGCATGATAGACACCGGGCTTGAATGAAAGCATTGCTGAACAGCTTTTATCATCACCACTATCGCCATCGGGACCTTTAAGACAATCAGCAGAGGGGGGAGATCTGTCCCTCCCCTTAAATGTGCAGAGAAATACAAAAGATCACAACGCACAGCCCTTTCGATGGAGGGCTTTGGACTTCTTTTGATTCATTCTCCTCTAATGCAACCTCCTGCTTGCGGCTTGTGCTTTCTGCAATGCACCCCTCTGAGCATTGCAAGCATTTTCCTTGCAAGGGATGGGAATAAAGCAGCAAGCCAGGCGTAAGATTCTGCCCATCTCCCCCTTTGATCCTTTCTATCTCTCTCTTTTGCCATCCTCTCAACACCTTTGCTTTGTTCCTCCTCCTCTTTCTTCCACCGGTCCATCCATCCATCCTTCCTACATCCTTTGCAGATCAGGAGCATCTTACAGAATTAAAGCCTCCTCCTTCTCTTCCACCTCCTCCTCCTCCTTCCAAACCTTTCAAGACTTCTTTCCCCACCATATAGAATATAGATAGGCACACATTTAACACAATACATAAAAACACTGTATTTATTTATTTATTTATTATTTACAACATTTATATGCCGCCCTTCTCACCCCGAAGGGGACTCAAGAGCGGCTTACAAGTTATATGTGTATACAATATATTATATTATTAACACAACACAATATTGGTATTATATCTTACTATATTGTACTATACCACTATACTGTAATATTATTATGAAATATACAATTATATGTATTATATTGTTTCACATTATAATATTATCAATATTACATGTGTACACAATATATTATATTATTAGCACAGCACAATATTAGTATTATAGATTAATATATTGTACTATACCTCTATACTGTAATATTATTAGTAATATTACATGTCATATGAAATACACATTATATTATATTATATAAATAATATATTATATTATATTATAATGTTATATTGCATTACATTATAATATTATCAATGTTATATATGTTTACAATATATTACATTATTAGCACAGAACAATATTAGTATTATATAATATTAGTATTATATAGTGGTATATCGTACTATACCACTATACAGTAATATTATTAGTAATATTACATGTCATATGAAATACACATTATATTGTAGTATTTTAAGTGTTATATTGCATTACATTGTAATATTATCAGTATTATATGTGTATACAATATATTGTTAGCATAGCACAATATCAGTATTGAATATTACTATATTGTACTATACCACTATACTGTAATATTATTAGTAAGATTACATTTAATATGAAATATAAAATTATTATATTGTCTTATTATTGCTATTATATCATATTACATTATAATATTATCATTATATGTGTATACAATATATTATATTATTAACACAGCACAATAATAGTATTATATATTACTATATTATACTGTATCACTATATTTTAATATTATTAGTAATATTAGATGTCATATGAAATATACATTATATTGTCTTATTAGAATTATATCGTATTAAATTATATTATCAATATTATATGTGTATACAATATATTATTAGCACAGCACAATATTAGTATTATATATTACTATAGTGTACTATACCACTATACTGTAATATTATTAGTAATATTACATGTCACATGACATATACATTATATTGTCTTATTATTAGAATTATATTGCATTAAATTATAATATTATCAATATTATATGTGTATACAATATATTATTAGCCCAGCACAATATTAGTATATATTACTATATTGCACTATATTGCTATACTGTACTATTCTTTGTAATATTACAAGTAATATGAAATATAAAATTATTCTATTGTATTATTATTAGTATTATATTTTATTAAATTATATTATCAATACTATATGTGTATACAATATATTATATTATTAGCACAGCACCTTATAATATACTACTATAATATAGTATATTATTACACACACATAGAGTATTAAATTATAACATTATCAATATTATGTCTATACAATATATTATTAGCACAGTACCTTATAATATACTATAATAATATATTATATTATTACACATAGAGTATTAAATTATAATATTATCAATATTATATGTGTATACAATATATTATTAGCACAGCACACTATTAGTATTATATATTACTATATTGTACTCTACTGTTATACTGTAATATTATTTGTAATATTACAAATATAAAATTATTCTATTGTATTATTAGTAGTATTATATGATATTACATTATAATATTATCAATATTATATGTGTATACAATATATTATTAGCACAGCACCTTATAATATACTACAATAATATATTGTTAGAGTATTAAATTATAACATTATCAATATTATATGTGTATACAATATATTATATTATTAGCACAGCACCTTATAATATACTATAATAATATATTATTAGAGTATTAAATTATAATATTATCAATATTATATGTGTATACAATATATTTTATTAGCATATCACCTTATAATATACTATAATAATATATTATTACACACAGAGTATTAAATTACAATATTATCAAGATTATATGTGTATACAATATATTATATTATTAGTACAGCACCTTATAATATACTATAATAATATATTATATTATTACACACACACATAGACAGATAGAGATGTGTAGAGCTCTGTGATGAGATGGCACAAAAGCAGTGCCCTGGATGACCACCTTACCTTCTGGATAGTTTGCTGCGTGACCTCTCCTTTCCCTCTCGGGCGAGCAGAAGCAAAGGCCACCGACATGATGGTGGGATGCTCTCCCTCTCCCTCTCCCTCGGTGTGCTGGTTCCCTCCTTATTGCCTGTTTCCTGGAGAGGACGTGTCAATACAAGGGCGCCGTGCGGTGGGGAAGAGATGTGGAGGGGAGACCTGGGCAGAGATATTGTTATGCTCTCCCTCTCTCCCTCTCTCTCTCTCGCCTCCGCCGCCGCAGTGCATGGGGAGGGGAGTCCGGGCAGATGGTACGTTCCGCGCCTGGCCAGGAGCGCCGGGCTCCGCTCCAGCCGGCCCCTCCCCGTCCCTCGCGCGCCCTCCCTCCACCTGGGCGCCCCTCCGCTCCCCAGGGAGCCGCGCCAGGCAGCCGAGAGCCACCTGCGCCGCCTGGCCCCGCCCCCTCCCCGCACCCCTCCCCTCCCCGCCCGCCCAACATGGTCCAGCCCAGGCGATGCTGCCTCTCCCCTCGCGAGCCAATCGCAGCTCTCCCCGCCTCGTGCCAAGCTTAGCAGCGCCTCGGTGCGACAACTGCGTAAACGGAAGCGGCTCCGCTACGCCAACTGCGTGCGGGGTGGCAGGTGGAAACTGAGGCGGGACCACCCCGCCATTCCTGCCGGCTCTCTTCAACTGCGCCGTTAGCGTAACGCCGCTCAACCGCGAGTCAGTCAACTCTCAGCTGCGCTATTAGCGTAACGCCGCTCAATTCTCCTCAGCTGCGCCGTTAGCGTATCGTCACTCATCGCTCCATTAGCGCTACACCACTCAAGTCTCCGCAGCCGCGCCATTAGCGTAACGTAACTATCCTCAGCCACGAGTCAGACAACTCGCATCTGCGCTATGAGCGTAACGTCGCTCAATTCTCCACAGCTGCGACGTTAGCGTATTGTCACTCATCGCTCCATTAGCGCAACGTCGCTCAACTCTCCTCAGCCGCGCCGTTAGCGTAACTCCACTTAAGTCTCTTGAGCTGCGCCATTAGAATCATAGAATCAAAGAGTTGGAAGAGACCTCATGGGCCATCCAGTCCAACCACCTGCCAAGAAGCAGGAATATTGCATTCAAATCACCCCTGACAGATGGCCATCCAGCCTCTGTTTAAAAGCTTCCAAAGAAGGAGCCTCCACCACACTCCGGGGCAGAGAGTTCCACTGCTGAACAGCTCTCACAGTCAGGAAGTTCTTCCTCATGTTCAGATGGAATCTCCTCTCTTGTAGTTTGAAGCCATTGTTCCTTGTCCTAGTCTCCAAGGAAGCAGAAAACAAGCTTGCTCCCTCCTCCCTGTGGCTTCCTCTCACATATTTATACATGGCTATCATATCTCCTCTCAGCCTTCTCTTCTTCAGGCTAAACATGCCCAGCTCCTTAAGCCGCTCCTCATAGGGCTTGTTCTCCAGACCCTTGATCATTTTAGTCGCCCTCCTCTGGACACATCCCAGCTTGTCAATATCTCTCTTGAATTGTGGTGCCCAGAATTGGACACAATATTCCAGGTGTGGTCTAACCAAAGCAGAATAGAGGGGTAGCATGACTTCCTTAGATCTAGACACTATGCTCCTGTTGATGCAGGCCAAAATCCCATTGGCTTTTTTTGCCGCCACATCACATTGTTGGCTCATGTTTAACTTGTTGTCCACGAGGACTCCAAGATCTTTTTCACACGTACTGCTGTCGAGCCAGGCATTGTCCCCCATTCTGTATCTTTGCATTTCATTTTTTCTGCCAAAGTGGAGTATCTTGCATTTGTCACTGTTGAACTTCATTTTGTTAGTTTTGGCCAATCTCTCTAATCTGTCAAGATCGTTTTGAATTCTGCTCCTGTCCTCTGGAGTATTGGCTATCCCTCCCAATTTGGTGTCGTCTGCAAACTTGATGATCCTGCCTTCTACCCCTTCATCTAAGTCATTAATAAAGATGTTGAACAGGACCGGGCCCAGGACGGAACCCTGCGGCACTCTGCTCGTCACTTCTTTCCAGGATGAAGAGGAAGCATTGGTGAGCACCCTCTGGGTTCGTCCATTTAACCAATTACAGAGCCACCTCACCGTAGTTTTGCCTAGCCCACATTGGACTAGTTTCCTTGCCAGAAGGTCATGGGGGACCTTGTCGAAGGCCTTACTGAAATCCAGGTACGCTACATCCACGGCATTCCCCGCATCTACCCAGCTTGTAGCTCTATCGAAGAAAGAGATCAGATTAGTCTGGCATGACTTGTTTTTAATAAATCCATGTTGACTATTAGCGATGACTGCATTTGTTTCTAAGTGTTTGCAGACCTTCCTTAACAATCTTTTCCAGAATCTTGCCCGGTATCGACGTGAGGCTGAAGGACATTAGCGCTACATCACTCAACTATCCTCAACCGCGAGTCAGTCAACTCTTAGCTGCGCTATTAGCGCAACGTCGCTCAATTCTCCTCAGCTGCGCCATTAGCGTAACGTCACTCATCGCTCCATTAGCGCAACGTCGCTCAACTCTTCTCAGCCGCGCCATTAGCGTAACGCCATTCATCGCTCCATTAGCGCAACGGCGCTCAACTCTCCTCAGCTGCGCCATTAGCGTAACGCCACTCAACTCTCCTCAGCCGCGCCGTTAGCGTAACTCCACTTAAGTCTCTTGAGCTGCGCCATTAGCGCTACATCACTCAACTATCCTCAACCGCGCGTCAGTCAACTCTCAGCTGCGCTATTAGCGTAACGTCGCCCAATTCTCCTCAGCTGCGTCGTTAGCGTATTGTCACTCATCGCTCCATTAGCGCAACGTCGCTCAACTCTCCTCAGCTGCGCCATTAGCGTACCGCCACTCAACTCCCCTCAGCTGCGCCGTTAGCGTAACGTCATTCATCGCTCCATTAGCGCAACGTCGCTCAACTCTCCTCAGCCGCGCCGTTAGCGTAACTCCACTTAAATCTCTTCAGCTGCGCCATTAGCGTAACTCCAGTCAAGTGTTCTCAGCCACACCGTTAGCGCAATGTCGCTCAACTCTCCTCAGCCGCGCCGTTAGCGTAACTCCAGTCAAGTCTCCTCAGCTGCGCCGTTAGCGTACCGTCACTCAACTCTCAACCGCACTATTAACATAACGTCACTCAATTCTCCTTAGCGTAGCAAGATGCCCTCTCGCCGCGATTCCCAACCTAACAGGTGTTTTGGACTCCAACTCCCAGAAGCCCCAGCTGCCTCAATTCACGACCAGGGACTGTGGGAAAGGAAGTCCCAAACCACAGTGGCTTCCGAAAGGCTGAGGCGAAAAGGGGGCGGGGCCTGCTCGTTCTCCGTCTGGCCAATCCCATTAGCCGCTATGACGGCGAGCGAACGGGATTGGTCGAGCCGGCGGCGTGTGTTGGGAGGGAGGGGTTACGTTCTCGACGCTCTCGACGCTTGTCTAAGGCGTCATCCTGTGGTGGGAGCTGAGGCGGCGGCGCCTGCGCAGTGGGGGAAGGTGACGGTGCTGTTTCGAGGGTGGCTGCTTCTCCTCCTCAGGCCTGTCGCCATGAGCTACGACCGGGCCATCACCGTGTTCTCCCCGGATGGGCACCTCTTCCAAGTCGAGTACGCGCAGGAGGCCGTGAAGAAAGGCTCCACCGCGGTAAAGAGCGGGTCCTGAGGGGAAGGAAGGCGGGAGGGGAAGAAAGGGAAGAAAGGGGAAGGCCTCAACTCTGCAGCCATGTTGGAAAAGACGGCCGCTTTCTCCACTGTTTACCTTCCACAGCAATGGATGGAAAGGCGTGGAATGGCCTCCCTTTAGAGCAGTCATGGGCCAACTTGGGCCCTCCCTCCAGGTGTTTTGGACTTCAACTCCCACAATTCCTAACAGCCGGTAGGCTGTTAGGAATTGTGGGATGAAGTCCAAAACACCTGGAGGGAGGGCCCAAGTTTGCCGAGGCCCTTCTCACCCCGAAGGGGACTCAGAGCTTACAAGATATATACACATACAATATATTATATTAATAGCATAGTACAATATCAGTATTAATTATTATTATATTATATTTATTGATTTATTTAGCAGTTTTGTATACCTGTCTTCTCACCTCCGTTCGAGGGTCTCAGGCCGGTTTCCAACATCAATATTACAGACAGTCATTAAAACATCCTATTCTAAATCACACTAAAATATTAAAATAGCAAAATACAATCATATAATTACAGCGGTCAGTCGTCATCAAAAATCATTATTCGTTGTCATCCATCTATATCACAGGATCATGGCTCATTCGTCGAATGCCAATCCCCAAAGCCAAGTTTTCACCTGTTTCCTGAACGTTAAGATAGAAGGGGCAGTTCTGATCTCCAGTGGAAGGGAGTTCCAGAGTCGAGGGGTCACCACCGAGAAGGCCCTGTCTCTCGTCCACACCAGCCGCGCCTGCGAGGCCGGTGGGATCGAGAGCAGGGCCCTTCCAGACGATCTTAGCAATCTTGATGGTTCATAGGGGACGATACGTTCGGACAAGTAAATTGGGCCGGAGTCGTTTACGGCTTTATAGGTTAAGACCAACACTTTGAATTGTGCTCAGAAGCTGACTGGCAGCCAGTGGAGCTGGCGCAACAGAGGAGTAGTATGCTCCCTGTACCCCACTCCCGTTAGTAATATAAATATATATAGTATTGTATTAGTAGTAATAGTATTATATTGCACTGCATTGTGATATTATAAATATTATATGTATATACAATATATTACATTATATTATTAAGATAGCATAGAAGACCAGGTGGAACTGTCCCCACCCCCTCCCATCACTCTGGCCCAGAGTTCTTTAATGGTGAAACCCTGAACCGTACCGTAAAGTCTAAGCTTAACCTCTTACCCTAAAACTTACCCTAACTCTTACCCTAAGCGTAACCCAAACCCTAAACCTTGCCCTAACCCTTACCCTAAGCATCCCCTCCTTTCTATCCTTCCTTTGCTCTCCCCACTCTCACGCCGGACCCAGCTATCATACTATCACTGGCCGAAGGTTGCACAGGCCTGGGATATAGTGAATGAACGATATATCTGAAATAGGCAGCTATAACAAAATACAGGGCGAACAACCCCATATTTGTGAGGTGAAGGGAATTTTAAATTTTAATCCTTACAGTTGGCCATGCCACAGGTTTTTAAATGCGTCGTGTCATTATTGTATTGTTTTGCTTTGTTATGAGTTATTTATAGTTGTATTGTTGTTGTTATGTTTTATGATGTATTTGGGCTCGGCCTCTCGTAAACCGCACCGAGTCCTGCAGGAGATGGTAGCGGGGTATAAATAAAGGTTTGTTATTATTATTATTATATCTGGAAACATGTTGAGGATTGTAATGATTCTGGAGACCAGGGTTTGAATCCCTCTCAGGGAAACATGATGGATAATCTTGAGCAAGTCACACTCTCTCAGCCTCAAAGGAAGGCAAAGGCACGCACTCTATCAAATATTGCCAGGAAGACCCCATGAAAGGCTTGCCGCAGAGTCACTGTAAATCATGATAATTTTTTTTGTCATGTCAGGAGCAACTTAAGAAACTGCAAGTCGCTTCTGGTGTGAGAGAATTGGCCGTCTGCAAGGACGTTGCCCAGGGGACGCCCAGATGTTTTGATGTGTTACCATCCTTGTAGGAGGCCTCTCTCATGTCCCCGCATGAGGAGCTGGAGCTGATAGAGGGAGCTCATCCTCGAAAGGCACACAACAACATCGTTGTTATTACTACTACTATTATTACTATATTGACACGCTGCCTTCTCCCGTTTCAGGATTCAAAACAGCTTGCAATACTTAAAAGACACATAGTTCGAAATCCAAACATTAAAAAGTGAATAAACAATTAAAAAAAACATTAAAACTAGTCTCAAATATGCACCATTAAACATACACTCCCACAGCAGTACCACAATTACAGAAATCCAGCACTTGCCTGAGGTTTTTTTATTTATCATGTCAGGAGCAAGCCAAATAGTTGTATTGCATTTTTAACAAACAAACAAACATATGAAACACAAAGTTTGCAAGCTTGGTAGTTGATCAAATGTCCTTTGACCAGTAACTGGCCACTTGGAGTGCCTCTGGTGTTGCTGTGAGAAGGTCCTCCATTGTGCATGTAGCAGGGCTCAGGTTGCATTGCAGCAGGTGGTCTGTGGTTTGCTCTTTTCCACACTCGCATGTCGTGGATTCCACTTTGTAATCCATTTCTTAAGGTTGGCTCTGCATCTCGTGGTGCCAGAGCGCAGTCTGTTCAGCGCCTTCCAAGTCGCCCAGTTTTTTGTGTGCCCGGGGGGAGGTGCAATGGGCCTATACACAATCATAAAATTCCTGTAAAACAATAAAAAATATCTGTTCAAAGAAAATAGGGAGGGTACCAGTCCTAACACTTGTGAGAAGAGAGTTCTAGAACCTAGGGACAACCTCTGAGAATGCCCTTTCCCATATTCCCACCAGATGCACTTGTGAGGGCGACAGATTCACCAATAAGAATAGAGTCCTTCAAATAATAATAGGGCTTTACAGGTCAACACTAGCACTCTGAATTGTGCCTGGAAATGGACCATCGGCCAGCAGAGCTACTGCAATGAAGATTGTAACAAGAGAGTATGTCATGTGGATCCTATTTTTCTAGCCTCATACAAAATCTGTTAATGACCCCACTGTAGGTGGATATGTTAAATGTTTAAGAATCACCTCTTTAAACTTTGGTGAGAATTGCAGGACTTACTTGGCATTTGAGAAGAGCGATAGGCAGTTTAGACTTTAAAGTCAACCAAGTCAAAACATCAGAATTTTAGTTTTTATTACCCACCCCTTCTGCATGCAGGGTATCACGGGCATAAAGCATACAGGAGGAGAGGGTTTGACAGTGATTTCTCAACCATGAGCTCATTAGTCTGTACATGCAGTGGAATAAGATGGTAAAATGCTGACTTTGTAGAGCAGTGGTTCTCAACCTGGGGTCCCCAGATGCTTTTGGCCTTCAACTCCCAGAAATCCTAACAGCTGGCAAACTGGCTGGGATTTCTGGGAGTTGTAGGCCAAAAACATCTGGGGACCCCAGGTTGAGAACCACGGTTGTAGAGTGATTTGTAGACTTTGTAGAGTAGGAGATTCCATCTAAACATGAGAAAGAACTTCCTGACCGTGAGAGCCATTCAGTAGTGGAACTCTCTGCCCCAGAGTGTGGTGGAGTCTCCTTTGGAGGCTTTTAAACAGAGGCTGGATGGCCATCTGTCAGGGGTGATTTGAATGCAATATTCCTGCTTCTTGGCAGGGGGTTGAATTGGATGGCCCATGAGGTCTTTTCCAACCCTATGATTCTATGAGTGGACTGATCCAGTTTGTGCTGTGGGTCAGTTTGCTCTCCTGTTAAAATGTCCCACAAATGAAAATGGAATGTTTGGTAAGAATGTGTCATTATTTGCTCTTTGACTTATTTGAGGAAAATAGTATTCAAGGCTGTGAAGTCACCTACTTATAGTTCACAACTGTACAGTCATGTACAGTAGGCAAATCTTTGTTTGGGACGTGTCTTGTCTTCTCCCTTCCCTTTTAGATATTCTCTACTACTACTTTCACTTTCAGATTGCAACATACACAGCAGAATCTGTCTGCAGATTATGTAAACTGCTTGTGAAAATTAACCGAGTACAGTAAGGGATGGTTGAGATGAAGTCAAATAGTGTATTAGCTGAAAATAGAACTATGAAATGGAAACTTTCTGGTGTTCATTAACATACATTATTTGAAAAATGGAGATCACCCGACTGTCTAGTAAGAAAGAGTAGTATTATTGTGAGAAAGCGTAATTGGGAAAGAAATGAGTATGTTATTTGATGCTACATATTGTGGTCTTGTAACTCTAGTTAAATTGGATAGAAGGGTGTAGCAAAGAGATAGCGAAGCACTTTGTCTCCAGTTGCTATAGAAACAGTAGAGTGGGATTGAGATTGGATGTGGGAAATTTAATTCAGTGAGTCCACAAGGTTAACTCAGAAGACAAAGGAAAAGATGATTGTGCAGGACTAAAATGTTTTTTTGTTTATTTATTTACTACATTTAGATCCCTCCCTTCTCACCCCAAAAGGGGGACTCAGAACAGCCTTACGAAAAGGCAGCAATTTGATGCCATACACATACGTGCATACAGTAAAAAAAATAAACATATTCATTAAAACCAAAAATGAACAGCAATATTAAAACAATTATTAAAATCACATAATCCAGAATCAAATCCAAGGCAATTTCATTAGTCATTTCACAATTCCACATACTTATATTGCACTTGCTAGCCAAAAGCTTGGTCCCATAAGCAAGTTTTTATTTTCTTCCTGAAGGTCAGGGGGGAGGGTTCTGCTCTGATTTCACTGGGGAAGGAGTTCCATAGCTGAGGAGCCACTACTGAGAAGGCCCTGTCTCTCGTCTCCACCAGAATGTTTTCTTTCCCTGAAAACATTCTGAGCAAAACAATTTATAGGATTGACGTGCTTCATATTGTCATCTGTACTGGGCTGCATATTCATATATAAATATTTTCTTAATAATTTATGAAATTTGATCCTAATTACACTATGGTATCTTAGGTATAAACTTGATTTCATATGTATGACTCTAAAATGACAAAAACTTTATTGTGTATTTTTTGTAAAGACAGCAGACAGAAATTGTCAGTTGTCTAGCTATTAAAGGACATCAGAACTTAGTCTTGGACCAGCTAATAGTTGAACCTATAGCATGGGAACAGTTGGAAAATATCTGCCATGATTTTTTTTATTTAAAAAGCAGTTATCTTTCTAACTCCCCTTACCATATTTCTGTAGCATTGTTAATAATGTGATTTGCTGCTTCTTTGGAAAAAATCAGTACAGCCCTAAAGTAAATAAATGTCAGCATTCATTATTAACATTTTATTTAATTATTTTGAGTCCTGAAAAATGTATTCTCAAAACAACATTTTTTCAGGAAAAACAAAAAGGAAAATTATCAGCACATGATAGACTCTCTTTTACCCAAAACTGTTTTTTAACATATGTGGAAATTCAGTGTCATAAAACACTGATATTTTTTGTTTGCCCTCAAGCCATTTCCGACTTACGGCAACCCTTAGGGCAAGATATGTCCATGGGGTGTAGCCTTTTTCTGCCCTTGAAGCTGGGAGAGAGTAACTTGCCCAAGACCACCTAGTGAGATTCTATCTCTGAGTGAGGATTTGAACTTTGAACATTCAAAGCATTATGCCGCCTAGCTCTCATCATATTATTGTTTAAAGATATAGCTGCTTAGATTATGTGGTGTTTAATGCATAAATATCCTGTTGATGTCTAAACTTGGAATACAAATTTAGGTGTTACTCACGTTTTTGTTCTTGATGCTTTTTAAATATATTAAATACACGAGGGCAGCATTTTAAGTTGATCTGAAAATTATCTAATTTGTGTAATATCAAAGGTTGGAGTGCGTGGAAAAGATATTGTTGTCCTTGGTGTGGAGAAGAAATCTGTGGCAAAACTTCAGGATGAAAGAACTGTCCGAAAGATCTGTGCTCTTGATGACAATGTCTGCATGGCTTTTGCAGGTACTCTTAGAACTAATTCATGGGAAATCAAACTATGATTTGTTAGAAAACTGCTACAATACAGAAAATTATGCAGTGATACCTTTTGTCTTAAAGCCTTTTTTTTCAGTTTTGCAAATGTCTTAATTGCAAAGAAGATTGTATATTAATAAATTGAGAAAGGAGAAACTAAACTAATATTTCTCCTTGCTTTGGTTCGGAATGTTTTGAAGACTGTTTAGCAAAGAGACAGATGTGTCTACTTGCACACTTTTGTTTTGGACAAAAATAAAAAGAATGTATTTCAATACTTTTATTGTCAAGTAATCTAATTCCCTCTGATTAGTTTCTTATATTAAAATGTAAATTGTTTTCCCAACCTGTAGATTGCTTCCTTACATTTTGAATGACTTACATGTACCTAAAACTTTAAAAATAACGGTGTGTATTTGTTGGATGAGCTACCATGAATTAGGAGGATAATGGGCATATTCTGGTCCAGCAGTGAAAAGCCATGTACATTAAATGACATTTTTCCAATCTTTACAGGACTCACAGCAGATGCCAGGATAGTTATAAATAGAGCACGAGTGGAATGTCAAAGCCATAGACTTACAGTGGAGGATCCTGTCACTGTGGAGTATATTACACGTTATATTGCTAGCCTGAAACAGGTATGTATAAATACAGTGTAGTAACAAGAAACAAAGGGGGTCGATCAAAGCTTGACAGTTGGGGCAAGCTGTTCTTGGTCCATCAGTGAATTCCAAAAACAGGATATATGGCAGCTGCTGGAGGTAGGGGCTAAAATGATTTAGAGGATAGTGTGTAGGATGCCTGGTTTCTTTCAAAGATAGTGAAAAAGAATATGAAGTAGTGGGTTTCTGTGAGTTTTCCAGGCTGTATGGCCATGTTCCAGAAGCATTCTCTCTTGACGTTTTGCCCACATCTATGGCAGGCATCCTCAGAGGTTGTGAAGTAGTATTTGTCTGTTGTTAGTACCTGGAATTATTTTTGTGGTTTCTGGAGTACAATATATTTGCTCCTAGTTTTATGTAGTGACTTTGTCTTACCTGAGTCATACCTGGAGATCCATAATGACCTTTGTGAATGCAGGTTCCAGAATTGCATGTGAAAAAATGTCTTACATTAACAAAACTAGAAGTCCACAGTCTTCTCAGATTTCCTATACTTTGATGTTGTAAAATTCAGTAATCAGGAAGAATCAATGATATCAGCCATAATACACTGATTATTTGATGTATTTTGGTTGCTTCTGGCATTTCTATTTAATATGCATCATAGTTTCTGACTTTATTTAATATGCATCACAGTTCTGACTTTATATCCGTGCATATGTATGTGTCTGTCTGACTTCAAGGTATAAATCAAGGAAATTCCACTGATCTTCAGAGAAAATCCCAGATGAATGCATACAGGATCATAGCAGTAGTATGTCACTTAGTCCAAAATCATGACTTTATCACACATAGCTATGAGACAGAATTACACCATTATTATTGCTGTGACTAGTCTGTAGCTTTCTTTTAAGTGGCTTGTTAGAAGATTATGACCGTGTTTCTTCAATTATCAACCAGTTTAGGAGAATATACAAGATTGTCCAAGTTATATTCCATGCAGTTGTTTCAGGCGTTATTTCTCTGTGCCTCCATGCATAGCTTTCTGCTAATACAAAATGTTATTGTTCCTTCTCAGCGGTACACCCAGAGTAATGGACGCAGGCCTTTTGGTATTTCTGCCCTTATTGTGGGATTTGACTTTGATGGAACTCCAAGGCTTTATCAGACTGATCCTTCTGGTACATACCATGCCTGGAAGGTGAGCTGAGCTTGATTATTTTGATTGGATGAAAGGGGTAGAAGCGTTCTCTTTATATAGCTAGATCCTATCTACGTGTTAACCTCCTTTCCTGCAACCTATTACAAAGCATCATGCCCATCTTTCTGTTAACAACGTAGAGTCAACATCATTTTCTGACAGCCTATATTATCAACAGTTCTGTTAGATCTTGCAGACTCGGCTGTGGCTTCCTTGATTGAGTTTGTCCATTTACAATGTGGTCTTCCTCTTTTCCTACTGCATTCAGGCTTACCAAGTATAATGGTCTTTTCTAGTGAGTCATGTCTCGTAATATGTCCAAAGTATGATGGTTTCTACCCATCTTGCTTTTCCTTGTTTCTTCATCTCCCACTGTCCTTTGTTTCCCATTCTGAAGAAAATAATGCTTCATGAGTGTTCTTGCATATATGAATAAATGGAGATACATATTTGTTTATCTCGTATTTGTACTATTCCAGTTTTCAAATGTCATCTCTGTTCTAAAGATAGTGTAAACAGAGTAGCTGCTGTTGCTCTCCTTTGGGCGAGATGCAGTGGGGTATAAGGTAAAGGTTTCCCCTCGACATTAAGTCTACCGTTGAAGTGGTACCTATTGATCTACTCACATTTGGATATTTTCGAACTGCTAGGTTGGTAGAAGCTGGGGCTAACAGCAGGAGCTCACCCTGCTCCCAGGATTCGAACCACCAACCTTTCAGATAGCACGTTCCACAGCTCAGCGGTTTAACCCGCTGTGCCACCTGGGGCTCGTAAAGCGGGGTATAAATAATAATTATAATAATAATCAGTTGCATAAATGAAAAATGCAATGTCTTGCTTAAATGTATAACTTGCAAACATTTTTAAATGAACTTTTAAATTTTAGGCTAATGCAATTGGCAGAGGAGCAAAATCAGTGCGTGAATTTTTGGAAAAAAACTACACTGATGAGGCCATTGAAACAGATGATTTGACAATTAAGCTTGTTATCAAAGCTCTACTTGAAGTAAGTGAATGCTCTTACTGTTTTAATTTTAAATTTGACTTTGCTGCCAGTTAACCATCTGGGTTGCCCTATAGAATATCTTGTAAGGGTAGATCTCTGGTTATAGAATTGATTTCACAAATGAGAACTGTACATTTCAATTTGTCTTAATATTATTTGTCATAAATATCTTTATTTACTTGTATATTTGTTCTGAAATGCAATTTTGCATTTGTACTGTTGGGCTGCAATTTAGTTCCTTGGGGGCATTTTTTTTAAAAAAATAGGATTGCTTTGCAGGTTTACTAGATTGAAGAAACCTCATTTTTCTTAATTTTCCATATTTAAGGTTGTGCAGTCTGGTGGTAAAAATATTGAGCTGGCAGTTATGAGAAGAAACCAGCCTCTGAAGGTAATGTGTCTTTAATGCTACAGTTCTGAACCCCCCCCCCCCCCAATTCTGCTTTCAGTGTTCAAATTTTGGAAATAGGACAGACATTCAGTAGTTAGATGTGACACTCTAAAGCAAGTGAGCAACCCAACTATTTTCAAACCAGTTTCCTACATTCATATCACCATTTCAGTCACTTCCGTGACAGCATTTCTTGATTTCTTTACTGAAATCAGCAAGAGTAATACCACTAGTGCTTGCCGAACAGCATTAAATGACTTCAGAGGATTGAAAACATCAAACTTCTGGATTTTATTCAACACTTAGGGAATCTTTATGCCTTAATTATGTTCCAGAACGGTTACTGATAAGAATTCATACAACTTTTGTTCCTCTGCTGGCCTTCCAGGCTGACTCTCCTGTTTGATAAGCTATCTGTCACTGCAGTTTGATAAATCGCAGCTGGGAGATAAGAGACCAAGATTCCAGTGGCCTCATGATTATATTAACAGTATTTCAGTGCATGCCTGGGAGATCAGAAGAGGTCACTTGTTCTATATTTGTGGACTACCCTTCTTAATTGGAGTACAATAAACCAGTTAACACTAACAGACAAATAAAATTATTGCCGTAATACCCCTTGAAAGTAGAGGGGGGGGGGGGGACAACCCATATTATATTTTTATTGCTTTTTGTGTTTTGGAATACAGGTATATAATCTCCCTTGTTGGTCATTGACATCTCAGTCGAACATCTTGGAACTATTTTTTATTGTTACTGTATAAGGTGACCATTAATTTACTTGAGCTCTATGCTCTGAAGGATTTTTTACAGGTCAAAATCAACACCCTGAATTAGGCTGCAACAATAACTTGTATGGGCCTCTCAGAAAAGGTGAGATGTGATCTCATTCAATCCTGAGATAGGTATCCTGCATATTTTCAGGCAATAGCGCCTTCCAATCTGGAGTCAAGCATTTTCTCCTTCCTCATAGTAGTTTGCAGGGGCAATAATAATAATAATAATAATAATAATAACAACAACAACAAAGGATTGTTGAAGGCTTTCATGACCAGAATCACTGGGTTGTTGTAGGTTTTTCCGGGCTATATGGCCATGTTCTAGAGGCATTTTCACCTGACATTTCACCTGCATCTATGGCAAGCATCCTCAGAGATATTGAAGTCTCCTCACTACCTCTGAGGATGCTTGCCATAGATGCAGGCGAACCGTCAGGAGAAAATGTCTCTAGAACATGGCCATATAGCCCGGAAAAACCTACAACAACCCAATAATAATAATAATAATATAAATAAATAAACAAACTTTATTTATACCCTGCCACCATCTCCACAAAGGGACTTGGGGTGGCTAACATGAGGCCAAGCCCAAAAATTACAATAAGGCAAAATAAATACATACAATGGACAATAACATCAAATAAAATGCATAACATCAAATAAAAAATACAAAATATCAAAATAAAACAATAAAATAAACACAAAATATAAAGTGATAAAAGAATTAAACACAGCGAGCTGGGCTATGGGGGTAATTTCTACTTAAATTTTGCATTTTTGTTTCAGATCCTGAGCCCTGATGAAATTGAGAAGTATGTTGCTGAAATTGAAAAGGAAAAGGAAGAAAATGAGAAGAAGAAACAGAAGAAAACAACAACATGATGCATACAATGTATTGTCTAGTCTGGATTTTTAAATCAGCCATGAATCTGTATAGACATAGAGGCATTCCATTTCCCTGTGCTGTTTCAAGAGGCCCTTTTTAAGAGGCCTGTAATAAACCACCCATTTTTTAAAGATTGTTACTTTAAGACTCTGTTCTTCAATGTGTACTGCAACGTGGTCATAATAGTTTTTTTTTCTATAGTAAGTGGAAAGATGTTTTGCTTGAGATCAACAACCCAAAGTTTGACATGGAAAATGCCTTTTATTACTAAATCATGCTCTATAATTGTTAATGGCCATTGTAACTGTGTATGTTCTGATATTTTGCAGGTCATCTCTTGTTTTCATTTCTCACATCAGAGCTCTATATTTGCTGGAAAAAATGCAGCATAATACAAGGTGTTGCAGAAAGGTTGCACTTGGGTATTAAAGTTAAAATTTAAACTTGCTGTCTCTGGAAGTTTTGAACTACATTCACAGATGTGAGCTGGCTTTATAACTGCATGACGGCTTTCTAGTCTCAAAAGTAAACAAAAAATATTGAACAACGACTGGAAGATCCGTCCCTCTTATCAGGTTTAAGTTATGCTTTTTTTCTAGCTTTAGTTTAAAACTGGAAATGTGAAAATACAGCTTTCCATCTCTTGTGTCACTAAAATATGACACTAAAAATCATTTAATGACATATTAGCTTTTCTCTTGAGTATGCCTTCCCCAATACCTGATAAATAGGCTCAATTGTTAATTTTCCTATTGGGATCTAAGTAGGGGTTTGTTGGGGAGGGGTGCAACCAATAGTCTACAGATGGCCCCTCAAGATCTTCCAATGCCTACCAGTACATCCATTCTTTTTTTTTAAAAAAAATGAGTCCAAAATGTCCCCAGAGGCTGTGATTTGGAGTACCATATTTTTGTCTTAAGTTCAACTATTCTTTCTTTTTTTTAGAACAGTAAAGCAATCAATGAGGTTCCTTTATTTTAAAAAAATTATGTTTCAGGCTGGGATGTGGTAAAAACTTTTCCCCATGCAACCATTCTGGGCTCAGAGTGAAAATCAATTAAAAAAATCAGAGTTGGTGTTGTAGCCTTCAGAGATTCCATGCAGGGGCAATGTGTCCCTTGAACCTTTTGCAACTTAACGCCTTCATAGTATTAGAAGAATAACTGGGGAATTACACCTTTATGAGCTCAGCTATAGTTTTCTTTAAATTTGTGCTCAGTTATTATTATCATGTCAGGAGCGACTTGAGAAACTGCAAGTCGCTTCTGGTATGAGAGAATTGGCCGTCTGCAAGGACGTTGCCCAGGGGATGCCCGGATGATTTGATGTTTTTATCATCCTTGTGGGAGGCTTCTCTCATGTCCCCGCATGAGGAGCTGGAGCTGATAGAGGGAGCTCATTTGCCTCTCCCCAGATTCGAACCTGCAACCTATCAGTCTTCAGTCCTGCCAGCACAGGGGTTTAACCCACTGCACCACCGGGGGCTCAGTTGAAAAGTCATCACGCTATGAAGCTTTACTGAAGAGCAAGATTTTGTCATTACAATGCACATTACCAGGGAGAGCTTAGAATTAACTTATTGTTAAACTCGTCTAACTTGGTGGCACAGCAGGCTAAACCGCTGAGCTGCTGAACTTGCTGACCGAAAGGTCGGCAGTTTGAATCCAGGGAGTGGGGTGAGCTCCTGCTGTTAGCCTCAGCTTCTCCCAACCTAGCAGTGGGAAGGTAATGATGCTCCATGCAGTCATGCTGGCCACATGACCTTGGAAGTGTCTACGGACAACACCAGCTCTTCGGCTTAGAACTGGAGATGAGCACCACTCCCCAGAGTTGGACATGACTAGACTTAATGTTTACCTTCAAACTTGTTAAATAATCACTTCGTTTATTTTATTTTCTCGTGATTTCACCTAGTTTTCTACAGTCCCTAAAAAAGGAGAATTTTAAAATATGCTTTAATCCATTAAGTTGTTAGTATTCCTTAGACTGGGTCCCCCACTTTCTGTCACAAACCAAGGGGGTTATAAATCGAAGTAATTGTGTAGTTAGGCAGCTTAATCTGATTGATTTGAGGTGACGGCAGAGAGGACAATTTTCAGAAGTGCAAGTTTGGAAGACAAAGGAATAGAAAAGAAAGTAAGTCTTGGAAGGGAATGGTAGAAGGGCGATTCGTTTCAGCCAGAGACGGGCCTTTTTGCAATGCTTCCCTGTAGGGAATGGGTTTCTTCCAAAGTGTTTGGAGTCTGCAGGGTGGAGATGCATGTGACCCAGCTTGGTAGTACGTGTTAGTCTTTCTGTTGAATATGTTCCAGACTTATTTTTATAGCATATTGTGATATAATATGCAATCAATACTAAATTTGGCTCTTTTGGAACTTTTACGCCCAAAAGCGGATGCCTTCCCAGGCCTGCACAGAGAACTTTATAACCCTTCTTGGTTGGGTCTGGAAGCTGAAAAGAGTTTTCCAGAAAAAACATTCTGCATTTGTTCATCTAAAGTTTCAGATTAAGAATCCTCCACTCTTAATTCTCTGACTAACCTTTTAGCTATTCTTATTGTCCTACTTGCACTCTAAAATAAATCACTTAACATTTAACAAGCAGGGAGTGATGTGTATGCTGCTGGATGCAGAAAGCAAAGAAATACAAATGAAAGAAACTGAAGAGACTGTAAGATGGGATTTCATTCTTTGGGACAGCCTTTCCTAGCCTTACAGGGGACACAGAATTCCCACTATTCCTAGGCAACAGTCCTGTCATGGTCTGCGTTGGCCATATGTGTGAAAAAAGTTTGTAGGAAGGAAACAAGTAATAAATGATGCTCCAATTAGTTCAATGGTGGAGATCTTTGTAAATGATTATCTGTAAATATTTCACCAAACAATTTTAATAGATAGTCTTTACGGTAGTGAATTTTTGTTTCCAGGAATCCAACCTCACCCCTATGGTTACCAAAACTGGCTGTTCAGTTTCCATTATATGTCATAGTAAACCAACATCTGTTATATAAAACAGCCAACAAATACTAAATGGAACCTGAGGATCTTTGAAATGATATGCTACAATAGGGTATATGAACACATCAGCTACTAGTGCTCAGTGCAAAGAAAAAAATTGGACTTTTAATATATACTAGCCGTTCCCTGCTGTGGCCCACTCTGGTGGTCATGGGGGATCTGTGTGGGAGGTTTGGCCCAATTCTATCATTGGTGGGGTTTGGAATGCTCTTGTGATTGTAGGTGAACTATAAATCCCAGCAGCTACAACTCCCAAATGTCAAGATTCTATTTTCCCCAAACTCCACCAGTGTTCACATTTGGGCATATTGAGTATTCATGTAGAGTTTGGTCCAGATCCATCGTTGTTTGAGTCCACCGTGCTCTCTGGATGTAGGTGAACTACAACTCCAAAACCAAAGGACACTGTCCACCAAACCCTTCCAGTATTTTCTGTTGGTCATGGGTGAACTGTGTGCCAAATTTGGTTCAATTCCATCATTGGTGGGTTGAGAATGCTCTTTGATTGTAGGTGAACTATAAATCCCAGCAACTACAACTCCCAAATGGCAAAATCATTTTTTTGAGTGAAGAACATACTTTGGGTTGTTAGGTGTCTTGTGTCCAAATTTGGTGCCAATTTGTCCACTGGTTTTTGAGTTCTGTTAATCTCACAAACAAACATTGCATTTTTATTTATATAGATTTATTTTCACACTCTGGAGCCCCCGGTGGCGCAGTGGGTTAAAGCACTGAGCTGCTGAGCTTGTTGATCGAAAGGTCGCAGGTTCGATTCCGGGGAGCGGCATGAGCTACCGCTGTCAGCCCTAGCTTCTGCCAACCTAGCAGTTCGAAAAGATGCAAATGTGAGTAGATCAATAGGTACTGCTCCGGCAGGAAGGTAACGGCGCTCCATGCAGTCATGCTGGCCACATGACCTTGGAGGTGTCTATGGATAACGCTGGCTCTTCGGCTTTGAAATGGAGATGAGCACCACACCCCAGAGTCAGACATGACTGGACTTAATGTCAGGGGACTACCTTTACCTTTACCTATTTTCACACTATAGATGCAGAACCCAGGGATAAGGGCCAACTGTATTTGAAACCACTTCAATAAAAAAAAAACCTAGAAATGACGGCCTTACATATCCTGTTAATTTGTATTGCAGAGTGTTGTGTCCAAGTCCTTTCTTGATATAACCATTGTAAAGCAATACCAGCCCATTACACCATGCCTTGCCTCCTTTTCCGTAGGCATTGTTCAGTCAGTCACAGCTGGTCTGTGGGCACAGACGCAGATGCCAAAGTGTGCAGAGGTTCCACTACACCACTCTAGATAGGTAGGACTAACAACTATATTCAGCTGTCATAGTCAATCACATCAGCGAGCCTATATCTTGAAATATTATAGGAAATTCAGAGGGAAGGGTTGAGGCCCTATATGGAGAAGAAACACCTAAGAATATTACAATCAGGTTGTTGTTTTTTAATGGTTTAATGCTCTGGTATTGTTGAAGGCTTTCATGGTCGGAATCACTGGGTTGGTTTTTTCGGGCTATAGAACATGAACAGCCTCTAGAACATGGCCATATAGCCCGAAAAAACCTACAACAACCCTGCTCTGGTGCGTTTACACTGATTGTCCAGATCTTAGGACGCTTTAAAGAAATTGCTTCTTACATAATGGTTGGATAGCACGAGTATTTCAAGAAAAAATAGTGTATTTTTTTTTACAAGAATAGCTATTCAAGGAAAAAGTCTGGAACACTGACCGTCAATGATGGAGTTGTATACTCTGTAACATTACATCTTTTCACAGATTTGTCAAGTCCTTGCACTTCTTCTGAACCTCTCATAGAATCGGCTGGTGCCTTGTCCCTCTCATATTAGTTGGAGAAAAGCTACAAGGGGCCAAGCTCCTAAACTATACAATGTTCCTATACTAGAAAGTACAGAATCCTTGTGTATGTTGGGGAAAAAACTTGTGTGACTCTGCACAGTGCAAAAAGGCTGTCTATATCATTTGTATAATAGCAGCATGAACTTTGCAAATTTAGAATGCAACGTACACTATAGAAATCCATTCCTTCATATTTGTATTTACTTGGTCTCTTCAGATTTCATTTGGTGGAAGGAAACCTTATGCATTAGATCCCGATTAAGTTGGCAGTACTTTGGACTCTTTGAAGATTTATCTGTTCCTTTCTCTGCATGGCAGCTACTCTCCCCATCTGCCATAAATATACTTGTATTGAGGCTCACAGCACCCAGCTAAATGAGGTCAGCTGCAGCACATAACCTGAAAATCAAGCCCTTCCACTGAGCATTTGAATCTGCAGAGGGCAGATCCTGGCTGCAGCCTCGTAATCCAGCAGGGCTGTGCCCCATTTCTAGAAGCTGAGAAGTATTGTTTAATGAAGTAGATGAAAAAGGCCAGAATGTCAAGCTTTGCTCCCTAGGTCCTACTTACTGCTTCAGTAGACAATTCCCAAACTCCAAGTCACTATTAGTATAATTTAGAAGACATTCTAAACAGGACAAAGATATATGAATTCTGCACCACCTTTGACACAGAGGAAAAAATATGCTTGGATAAAGGTTTCGTGGACCCCAGTCTACTTCACTGGATGTACGGTAGTATTTTTTTGCTATACGCTTTACTTCAAGGATGTAATGTGTATGTATGCATGGAACTTCTGGTGGTGCAGTGGGTTAGACTGCTGAGCTGCTGAACTTGCTGACTGAAAGGTCAGCGGTTTGAATCTGGGGAGCAGGGTGAGTTCCCACTGTTAGCCCCAGCTTCTGCCAACCTAGCAGTTCAAAAACATGCAAATGTGAGTAGATCAATAGGTGCCGCTCCTGCAGGAAGGTAATGGCACTCCATGCAGTCATGCCGGCCACATGACCTAGGTGGTCTCTCCGGACAACGCTGGCTCTTCGGCTTAGAAATGGAGATGAGTGTGAAGATCCCTTACCTTGCCAGCTGGGGGGTGGCAGGGCCCAGGAAGAGACAGGCTAGGTAGTTTTCAGCTTAGAAGGCCTGGCAGAGAGCTGCAGGAGCCATCTTAGTTTAGGGAAGACTCCAGTTCAGAGTGGGGAGTGGCCTAGGCCTGGGCCAGCCCAGCAACAGCCAGGATTGGTTGGTAAAAGGGGGGCGGAGTTAGCCAGTTGGAGGGAAAGAGAGAGGCTTATTTTGAGAGTTCAGTTCAGTTCTGGGTGATGTTAGAGTAGGATTAGAGTTTTAGGAGTCTCTGTTAGGAATAGGCAGCTTGCCTGTAGTTTGCACAGCAAAGTAGGCTGTGGCAGACTGGTTACAGCTATTTTAGAAAAGAAATAGCTGGGTTTTGTTTAGGAATTGTAACAAAGAATAGAACCATTCTCTCAAGTAACCGTTACGCTTCTAAGAACCAGGAACACTTTAATTGTAACAGCCAAGCCTCTGAACCTGCATTCACTTTTATTCTGTAACTTGTATTCAATAAACTCTTTCTTGTTATTTTAAAAATTAAGCCTGAGTCATGTGCCATTTTTGGTTTGAGTCCTTTTCCTTGTTGAATCAACCTCTCCTGTTTCCCCTCAAAGAAAGCCCTTGATAATACACAGTATTTGGTGGAGTAAAAAAGCCTTTTAATATTTTAAGCAGCCTTTTAGCATTCTAAATAGCTAGAGGGTTCGTGATTCTTCAGTTTATGGTGGCAGCGAAGGTTTTTAAATAAAGAGACATCCCCTCAAACGCTATAAGAGCCAAAGTGGTGTGAATTCCTTATTGAAGGAGGGACAGTGTTGGGATCTGTTTGCCCCCTGTCCAGTGACATTGTTTGGCCATAAAGACTGCCTTTATGTCTAGGGGTAGATGGTGGGATTGATCACATTGCCATCTGCCTGATTATTATAATTGGTGTGGCAGAGGTGGGTTTGCTTTACCCCCTGCCCAAATAGCATTAAGGAGTCTTTATAATTTGGTGGCAGTGGTGGGATTCTTTGACCCCCTGCCCAGACGGCCAATAAAGGAGCTTTTATAATGAGCATCACCCCCAAAGTTGGACATGACTAGACTCAACGTCAAAGGGAAACCTTTACCTTTTTAAACAGGTATGTGTATGTAGCATAAGCTGCAGACAAATCTAAGAGCACCGCATCTGAAACTGTGGGTCCCAGCCCCAAATGGAGTCCCCTTAGCCCAATGTTGGGATCCTGAAAAACTTGGCAACAATACAAGGTTTATTAGCTTTGGGCCATTCTAGACATTGACATGGATCTGTTGTGCAGTGTTGAGAGTGGACTCTGCAGAAGATACTTCAACTGTACTTCATAAAAGGAAAGCCAGCTTGCAAATGCTGATTTGGAAATGTTTGATTTTATACCTATTTTACATAACTATATACCTGAGGCCACGGGTCAAAAGGGTCACAAGAGGAAAAGGTTTAAGAACCCCTGATACAGAGCACTGTATGTTTACATGCTAAAATGCACCAGGATGGAAAATTACATCATTTTGATGGTTCTACCTTTAGCTGGCATGAAATCAAACACAGAAATCAACTCTCGTCCAACATTCATAAATTTTCCCAACACTTCAAGTCTTTTGGGATCATTTCTATCCATTTTGGGTCCCAACAAGAAAGCTTACAGGAAACAGCTAGGCAACAAAACAAAACGAGAAGAGCCAAACATTGTATATGTTTATTTATAGTTACGATTTACATGACTCCATAAAGCAGCCTCACCACAACGTGTACTTCAATGATGAAGGCCTACAAAACTAAAGCCTTTACAGCAACTTAAATCAATGCATGACCTAGTGGGGGAGGAACTGAAAACGCTAGTCATGAAGGAGGTGGGGGAAACGCTCCTGTAGCTACAAAAGAGACACATGCCTATTACTAAAGGCTTAACCCACTTTCATGCAAAAGTTTATAATCCCCACACACCCAACTTTCAAACCCTGCCCCAAGTCCTTTTAAAAACAACAAGAAAAAAACAACAACAACCCAGAACTATTTATAGTGTTTGCTTGGGGAGAGGGGATTGGAAGGAACTGACTATGCTTTGCCCGCGTTTCATTTGGCTCCTCCGCGTTCCCCATCCTGAGGATTAAATATCCTACCCAGCTTCCAAGCACAAAAGCACATACTGCTCTTTTCCTCAAGGGAGCTTGAAACCAGAAAACTTAAATTTTCCCCTTTAAATAAAAGACAGAGAGAAAGAAAGGAAAGATGGAGGGATCTCAGTCAGTTAAGAATTGTTGAAAGAACATCACACGATCTTAAGCCTTCTCCAAACACTGAATGAAGTGCCAGAAAATGGAAGTTTACCATCAAGAAGGCTGGAGAACGGCACTTATTATCATCAGCCATACCCAATCCTTTGCATCTCTTTTGGAGGTGTGACCAGCACTCCAAGTACATCTGTTGTACAGCTCCGCAGAGAAGCTGTGTGCATCTGAAGCCGGGAACCCAGAATTACAAACACATGATCAGCAACAATTCCCCATCGCCACAAAATACACAACGTTTTGCACTAGAACTTGTTTCTGTACATCAAAATAGTCCGTGTGAACCAAGGGGTGAGTGTGAAAAAGCAAGAGAAGAAGGCTGAAGAGCAGGAGACTGGCAGAACTGTGGCTCCTCAAAGAAGGAAAGTTGCTGGTTTCGATGACTTTGGTTTGTTTTGGAAAAATTTCAAATTGCGTTCTCCTCTTCAGGAACAGAACAGGTATTCTGTGAATTCAGTTACTGCAGCCTTTGGAAATTTAAAAGCAGCACAAATTCCTTGCACTACTTTAAAAAGAAAGAAAGAAAGAAAGGAAAATCTCCTTGAAGAGGTGGTTTGTGGACTTACTCGTTTTCAAGTAACTCCGGTGTCCCATTCCTGCTTTGACACACAAGCAGCAGTGCTGGGAGTTTAAGCTTGTGAACATAATGCTCCATTCACCCATGTTTTTAAGTGCAGCAGTCCGATTGTTCCCTCCTTCCTATATACACACACGTCTTTGCAGCAAAATATGCTTGAGAACCTTAAGAGAAAGAAAAGTTGGCACATTTTACATTTGCAAAAGAATTACTCAAGTGTGTTAGTTCTGAAAAAATGCAAAGGATAAAAGGGGGGGGGGGGGAAGAGAAGGGACGAGATTCAATACCAAATATCACCTTGTGCTTCTCAAGAGTTAAAATACACGACCTTAGGGAAAATGGGATATATATTGGGGAACTTGAGGAAACTTTTTAATGTTATGTGTCCTCTGCATCCCAACTAGCTCACCATGAAATGATAAGTTAGTAGCTATTTTTTACTTTTTATCAGACAGAAATCACGTGTTCACATTGGGAGAAATGGTATGTCAGTGTTTCTCAACCGGGGGAGGGGGGCGGTTGCAAGGGGGGGTTTCAGAGGGGTCACCAAAGATCATCAGAAGACACATATTTCTAATGGTCTTAGGAATCCTTTTGGCAGAGAAGGCTGAAAATCTCTCCACCTGTACTTATCTTCCTTTTAGGTGTTGATGAACTACAACTCCTAGAATTCAAAAACAGGCAACCCCCACCCAACCCTGCCAGTATTCTGTGTTGTCTATGTAGGTACTTTGCCAAGTTTGGTGCAGATCCATTGTGGGCTGAGTTCAGAGTGCTCTTTGATTGTAAGTGAACTATAAATCCCAGGAACTACAACTCCCATATGCCAAGAACCATTTTCCTCAAATCCCACCAGTGTTCACATTTGGGCATATTGAGTATTCATGCCAAGTTTGGTCCAGATCCATCATTGTTTCAGTCCACAGTGCATTCTGGATGTATGTGAACTACAACTCCAAAACTCAAGGTCAATGCCCACAAACCCTTTTTCTCTTGGTCGTGTGCCAAGTTTGGTTCAATTCCATCGTTGGTGGAATTCAGAATGCTCCCTGATTGTAGGCTAACTATAAATCCCAGCAACTACAACTCTCAAATGGCAAAATCAATCCCCCTCAACCCCACCAATATTCAAATTTGCGCATATCGGGTATTTGTGCCAAATTTGGTCCAGTGAATGAAAATACATCCTTCATATCAGATATTTACATTATGATTTATAACAGTAGCAAAATTACAGTTATGAAGTAACAACGTAAATAATTTTATGGTTGGGGGTCAACACAACATGAGGAACTGTATTAAGTGGTTGCAGCATTAAGAGGTTGAGAAACACTGCTGTATGTGATGAACTTGGTTCGTTTTGCTTGCTGCAAGAGTGCAAATAGCTTCATAAGTTTCAGGAGGAAAACCAGGCATGGGCAAACTTGGGTCCTCCAGGTGATTTGGACTTCAATTCCAACAATTCCTAACAGCCGGTAGGAATACTGGCTGTTAGGAGTTTGCCATGCCTGGGATAAAATCATTTTGAGTGGGCAATGTGGTTTCCTTGGGGAGCTCCTTAAATCTCCCAGTCCCCAAAATATGCTAATAATGGCTTGCCTTAGAGGTTCACACTCTTCCGGTGCCCACTCTGGGAGGAGCCTGAGTCCGCCGCACGGCTCCTGACCCCCTTCCACCACGGAAACCACCGCGGAAACTGCGACCACGAAGAAAGCGTCCCGACACACCAAAGGTCTCCGTGTTGAGCTTCCGCTCCTCTGCCCATGTTGTACGCCTTGAACTAAAGAACAAGTTATCATTTTTCACCTTCTGTTGCCATCAAATTCTTCACGTTGATGTCGCAAACCCATGCTTCAGAAAGAAGAACAAGGCAGATCCCTAACCTAGAAAAAACATCACCTACCAAGTTTACACATACTGTTAAACTTTTGCATTCATCTACTGTACAGAGAAACTACAGAAATCGAGTTCCAATAAGTGAACTACTTTCCTATTAACCTCCAGAAGCTGTAGTTCAATATAAGCAGGCATGCCTGTATCTTAGTAGTCTCAATCTGTAAGAGATCTCTGTGGGAGAAGGGCCTCAGTGTGATAATAATAATAATAATAATAATAATAATAATAATAATAATAATAATAACAACACTTTATTTGTACCCCGCTACCATCTCCCAAAGGGACTCGGTGCGGCTTACATGAGGCTAAGCCCAAATACAACAATACAAGCAATAATAACAACAATACAAGCAATGAAAATAAAAAAAAACATAGGCAATAAAATATGCAACAATTAACAATAAGATAACACACAATTAAAAACAGTGGGAAGGCCAAATGTAAAGTTAAAATTGGAAATGATGCTGGGACATGGACGAAAAGGTGAAAGTGGTGTTTGTGGAAAACGTACAAGCAGACCTAATATGTAAAGTGCTTTGGAGGACAAAGTGCTAAGGGATCATTATTCTGGGAATGCACACTGGAACAACCATGTCTTCAAACTCCTCCTAAAGACTGCCAGAGTTGGGGCCTGCCTGATGTCCTTAGGGAGTGAGTTCCAGAGTCAAGGGGCCACCACCGAAAAGGCCCTCTCTCTCGCCCCCACCAATCGCGCCTGCGATGCAGGTGGGATCGAGAGCAGGGCCTCTCCAGATGATCGAAGAGATAGTGTGGGTTCGTATACAGAGATGCGGTCAGTGTGTTAGTAGCCATCAGTTCGAGGGAGCCTCAGTGTTAGCAGACCTCAGTGAGAGAAGCCTCAGTATGATAGGCCTCCGTCTGAGATAGCCCTCAGTCTGTAAGAAGTCTCAGTATGAGAAAGATTTCAGTGTGTTAGTAGGCCTCAGTCTGAGAAGGCCTCAGAGTTCGTTTGCCTCAATCAGAGAAAGGTCTCCGTCTGAGAGAACCCTCTGCGTGAGAAGTTCTCAGTGGGAGAAAGGTCTCAATGTGAGGTAGGCCTCAGTATGAGGAAGGCCTGGTATGAGAAGGTTTAGCGAGAGAAGGCCCAAGATGAAAGCCATTGTGTGTGAAGCTCCAATGTGAAGGCTGCTGTGTGTAAAAAGCTACTGTGTGAAGCTCCTGTGTAACTTCGGTGTGAGAAGACGCACTGTGAGAGTGAAGCTGTTTATCTGCATGAGAAAGCAGCATTGCATATAAGCAAAGGAGGAAGTATAAAGAATTTTTTTAATGTTATGGAAACCTTGTTATTGTAATATGCAACTATATTATTTTGCTATAAAGAAAAGCCTCCTATGGAAGAGATAACATTGGTCTGTGTGATTTTGTTCTTTTTATCACTTTGGGCTACTGGTGCTGGGCCACGCTTTTTTTAATAAGTTACTCTGCTGTACATTTATGAGGAGGGTCTTTTTTATTAAGCCCACTTGCCCAACGAATTTCACCTAAACTATGCAAAGGATCAGCAGAAGGGCACTGGTTTGTTGACAAATAAGCTTTCGTTTAGCACTGGAATTCAAAAATGATGTATACAAAAAGTAGCTTTATGTTTTAAAGTATGATTAAGTATGAATCTAATAACTGGGGGGATTTTGAAACTATTTTCTAAACACTAACAGTATCAAGAACAGCAGCAAGGCAAAAATGCTAAATTTCAGCTACCTGGACTTAAGCTCTGAGGAGATGTTGTCAAAGAAGGACTTTGTTTTGTCATAATAGCAGTTGGGTCCGAGGAGATCTTCGTCTGTGGCGCCATCGCAGTTCTCAGCAGTCACTGTGGGCTCCCCCTTTTCTTCACCTGTCTCAACTTTTTCATCTGAAGAGGAATACGGAAAACCCTCATCTTTAGAACAATACTCAACAATTTGTTTTCTTTTCAGAGAAGCCGCTGGCATCCAGATCTCTCTCACACATGAATGAATGAGGTAACAATGCTTACAAACCTTTAAAGTTAAGTTTCTTCTTGAATTCTTTATCCAGCTCTTCTCTATTGAATTGCGCATTTGCACTTTCAAAATCAAAGTCACCTTCGAACTTTATTGTATTCTCTTTGGAGGTAGCAGGTCGATTTTGCCCTCTGGAACGATTCCTGGTCCTCCTATTCCCTGCAACGAAGAAGAGACAAATCCTTTAACTAAGTAATCTGGTACTGGACAAGTCACGACAGAATGCACAAGTTCTTTGCTTGTGACAACATACAAGGGCTATGTACCTTGACACAATTTTAATTCACTTCCAGAGGAAATTCTAGCAGGCTGGATATGCCTCAAAATCTAATGGCTATAGTAGTGGGATTTATGGTGAAGTTTTCCTCAAACAATCTCCTCCTCTAAGCTTAACTCATAGGCCCAAACATGTTTACTATTAAACACATGGCTTCTAGCTGCCCCTTATGTCTTTCGTTCCAATTTACAAAGTCTTGGCTATTCTACTCAATTAAGTGCTCGTTCCCTTGAAATCTATTGAAAACAGCAGAAATCTCAAGTAAACTAATTAACACAACTCAAGTTGTTTCTGCTTCGATTATGAAAAGTTCCAATGCAGCATCTTAAGTTTTGCCATTTAAGTCGCTTTACTGGGCCAATTTTTAGGCCTTATCCATAGATATGCTTCCACCATGATCCATAGCTTTTAGTTTCTAAATGCTTAAAGTCAGATATCATTTCATTGTAATCCCTAGGATTCGGTAATTCATTAAACCATTATCGTTGCCCCAGTCTTATAATCTTACACTACAGAGGTAACGCACAGGAAGGTACTTCAATGTGGAGAATTTAAGTCAGGTAACATACCTGATCTCCTCCTCTGGGGCCTTCTATTCTCATCATTCACCTGCCCTTGTGTTTGTACAGGTGTTGGCTCAACTGTATCTAAGGCAAAATAGGAAAGTCTGTTCATATAATCAACATGCTGAAAGGTAACTGCAGATGTTAACTCATGCCAATTCCAATTATACAGGGTGTTTCAAAATGATGGACCCAATTTCAAAGCTCATGACGACAACATATTATAATTACACAAAATGTTACAAATAGCTTAATGGGTTATCAAGTTTTACTAATTATTTTGAACCAAAAAGAAATCTAAGCATTAACATCAATGAAGAACAACTCATTAGGCCTATGCTGTGGGGCTGCTGTTGAGCGAGTGGGCTTATTAACAAAAGACCCTCCTCATAAATGTACAGCAGAGTAACTCAGCAGTAGCAATGTAATCCAGCACCACTAGTCCAAAGTGATAAAAAGAACAAAAACACACAGATTAATGTTATCTCTTCCATAGGAGGCTTTTCAGTGTAGTAAAACAATATGGTTAAGCTATTTATTTTATTATTATTTTATTTAAAGCTTTTATATTCCACCCTTCTCACCCCACAGGGGACTCAGGGCGGATTACAGTGTACACATATATGGCAAACATTCAATGCCAATTTTCAGTCAGTCAGTCAGTCAGTCTGACTGGCTGAATTTTGACATACAACATATACAGACATAGACAGAGGCTATTTAACTTTTTCTGGCTGCATCTGCGACACTGATGAAGTACTTCCGCATTCCCCGCATACTTTTTGATTGAGTCTTTTTATGGCCTCATAAATTAGTTAATTTAGCCTCCCCACACTTTAAGGTGGTACCTTATTTTCCTACTTGACAGATGCAACTGTCTTTCGGGTTGCAAAGGTCGACAACAGGCTACACAATTGGTTGGAAACCCACTCCAACCCAGGCTGGCTTCGAACTCATGACCTTTTGGTCAGAGTGATCTTAATGCAGCTGACACTTAGCCAGCTGTGCCACAATCGCCACAAACAAGGTTTCCATAACACAAATAAATACATTGTAGCTTTACACACAGCGGCCTCCACACTTGTGCTTTCTCACATGAAGCTTCTCTCACACAGAGTCTTATCTCACACTTCTTAGAACACTAGCTTTGGCCCACTAACTCTAATGGGCTTTGGTCTACTTACTGTCTTCAGGACGACACTAACTTTGGCCCATTGGCTCTAAAGGCTTCGTCCTACTAACTCTTTCAGTGCTTGACTCACACTTTTGTAATCAAAATCAAAATCAGGTTGCAGGTTCAAATCTGGGGAGAGGAGGTTGAGCTCCCTCTATCAGCTCCTCATGCGGGGACATGAGAGAAGACTCCCACAAGGATAATAAAAAACATCAAATCATCTGGGCGTCCCCTGGGCAACGTTCTTGCAGATGGCCAATTCTCTCACACCAGAAGCGACTTGCAGTTTCTCAAGTCGCTCCTGACACGACAAAAAAAAAATCAAAAATACCTAGTTAATATTTCTGACAGTTGCCACCTCGTGAATGACTGAGGCCATGGGCTGTTTGTGTCCTGGGAGAAGCATTTAGCAGTAATCATTTGCAATCTCCATGCCCCACCTTTAAAGTGATAAATGAGTTCCATTCATGGGCAGTTTGTGGTTGCAAAGATATATCGGTTTCTAATCGGGTCCATCTTTTTGAAACAACTTTATTATCATTATCATTGTTATTATTGCAAGAGTGCTGTAATGTTTCTGAAAGAAAGCCCCATTACCACTTGTCTTGTTATTCTGCTGAATCTGACGTGTGTTGCGCTGGATCGCTTGAGTGGCTTTGACTGGTGGGATCTTTTTGGGATTAAGATTGCTGTCAATCGGTCCTGTCTGGACAGCTTGCTCCACCATGGGACTTTTACGTACTGAATGAACTGATGGAAAAGCAGCACCTGAGGGAAAACCAGTAAACCATCAGAAACCATGGTGTTAGTTCTACCTCCAAGACAGACTAGAGTTTGCAGACCACTGATTTCTGCATACTGATACACATGTGGAACAGAAAGTTCTGAAGGAAGGTTTTATCTGGATAGCATGTTCTTGGCATTGAGACATCACTTCAAAAGAGGCAGAAATTTAGTTTTTCTACAGGTCAGAGAAGAAACCTAATAGTCTTTAGATATTTTCAAGATCCTCTTAGTTGACACTGGCCATATTAAGGAACCCTCAAATGCAACAAAGTATTACTCAACTTTTGTCAAAGATGAAGTGCAACACTGCAAAACAATGGTACGCATCACTACCATATACATTTCCCCTATAATATAGTCTACTACACTCATTCCGCTCCATCTCTTTGGGAACTATATTTAAGTGAAGAGGCTAAAGATCTTCTGGATTTACTTGCGGCAAACAATATGGTGGTCAAATCAGATGAAGACAGATATGCTTTTCACTGGAGTCTTCCATATGCCCACATTTACCAAGTCTGGAGACCACAGCCTTGAAATTTGACTCCCAAGTCAAAACACATGCCTTAAGAAAAGCAACTGGTGATCCACGCCCATATTAAGTCAGTACACCTGTGCTCACAGCTGCATAGCAATGTTTATTTATATGCCCTCTGGTTATTCACCTGTCTTGTGTCTTAACAATGATTTGAAAAACTGATAAATTGATCAGTTTTCTCTACAACAGAGGAATGAAGCAACAACTCCACAAGTTCCACAATTGACAGAATGTAGCTTTTCCTGGCAAAGAAATGAGCCAAATATCATCTTGGTTCAGGAGAATATTTGGACCTCTACCACCTTCCTTTCAAGGAAATTAGCTTTCCACACCATGGAATATGATTTGAAATCCCACTAATATTAACAGATCTGGAATCTCTGTGGTGAATATTAGAAGAAAACTCAGCCAGACCTCCAAAAGTAGGCAAAGATTCACTATTCACACAGCGTCACTCAGGCCCCTTCTATACTCCCATATAATCCAGATGATCAAAGATCATCCACATTATCTGATTTGGATTACATGAGTCTTCACTGCCATATAATCCAGTTCAAAGCAAATAATCTGGATTTTATGTGACAGTGTAGATATGGCCTCAGTCAGTGTGAAAGCTCTGTGTTCATTATTTTCCTTACCCACCTCTAACTCTAGATAGCAAAAAATCAAACGAAGAGATTATAGTTACTACAGCTTTCACCAAAAACACAGCACTTGGCACTGTGTTTCACAAATCTAATTCATATTTACTCCTAATTGTATTACAGCAATATTATGCAGCTGGTTCGCAAAGTGGGCAAGTGAACACAGTAGATCGAAACTGCTACTCATTTCAACATGATATAAACCCACTACATCTTCATGAAGTTCATTCTGTCTCATTAAGATGACTGTACTAAATATAGATCTCAACCCAGAATTCCTGCTGTGGACCCGGACACATTCACTTACCAAATCAAACAATAGGTGAGATTTATTTATGATAAATTAAGGCTCTTGCATTCTTTGCTGAAGCAACACTAGAGGAAAAATGTTTGCCAGGGCTAGCTGACCTCTACTTACTCCTTGTATGTGGCAATAAATTGCAGCCCTCTTCCCCAGAATAAGCACCGCAAGATATTCAGAAGCCTTTAAGTATTAGTCTCAAAGCACCCATAAAGCTCCTGCAGATTTCTCTTATTTATCAAAGCAATTCGGCTAGGTTTGCAACCTTGAAAGAAACTTTACTTATATGTCTGCTCCAAAAAACATGCAAAAGAAATGCAACCTGTCTAGTAAGCATCAAAAGCCTTCTCAAGCTGAACAGTGGCCATGCACAACTGAATCCAGGTAAAATAAGCAAGTTTAGTCGTCAGAGAAACCAAACATGCATCACAGCTCTCACAAGCAAATGCAACCAAAATATTTTGTTCTACGTCACGTGAAGCAAATTCTACATATACAAACAAGCACTTTAATCTGCTCCTCTGGAGCCCTGTATTTGCAACAGGATATTAAGAAGGTTAACAGTGCAAAAACAACAAGTTCCACGACTAAAGCTGTACTGGATTTATCTAGAACTTGCATTTTGAGAGGTCACAGGCCAGCCAGTCCGCCCTGTTAGCTGTCAATATTTTAGCTTCACCTGATTTGAGTTTGGATCCTAAAAGTTGTGAAGGCAGCCTTTTGAAATTCGACACCTAGGGAAAAGGCTTGTGATCCTACAACTTGCCCATTCTCCATGCATTTGAGTCCCCAAACATATCTGGCCTGTACTATAGCTTCCTACTCTCTAAATGGTTTAGCCTCCATGCTTGAAATTACTGTGCAGAATTTCTGGTCATCCACCAATCCAATACCTGGAGCAGAAGCACCAAGGGTTTCTGAAATAGACTACTGCTGTAATCTTTGTAGACGTAACTCTGTTCAGGAACAAGAAGGGGGTTAAAAGACAAAATCGTTTTGCAAACACCATGCAGTTCTTCCAAATACTTGGAATCCTCAAGCTGCTGTTACCCTTAGAAGACAGCAAGTGTGGCTCTGATGACAAGTCAGGCTCTGAAACTGGCTGAGGAGATGAAGAAGTGCTAGGACTGGAAGCAGCTGCTGATGTTGGAGGGCTTACCAGTTTCTCTAGAAAGAGAGGGAGGAAGAGAGAAGACAAAGCAAAGAGGGATACCAATGAGACACAAGGCAATAGAGACATCCAGAAATTTTGGAGAAGAAAGTTGGCTCAACATCTGTGTATTTTTACAGCTTTAGAACCAGGAAGAATTGAACCAGAAACGAGATATACCTTGGTCAAGTCATTTAGTTTTAGACCATCAGGAATCAGAATTTTAGATCAATACATCTTAAGAGGCAGATAAAAACAATATAAAAGCATAAAATATTTGAAATCATAGCCTGCCCCTTCTTCCCCATTACCAGCCTGTCAATCCAAGTGCACAATTTCCTCAAGTCTCAATAAACTATTTACCTCCCATAGTCCAACCACACCACTGCAATCATTTTACAACTAAGGAACTGAGAATGAAAAATAGTAATGGCAGGATGTCCATACTTTCGCTTGCATTAGCACCAAGTTTTCAGCTTCAAGTCAAGCCCTTTCCCTTGCACTACAGCTTGAACAGCCAGCATAAAATTGGATTACTTGTACAAGCTTTACTTTATATCCATAGGAGCTATGTTCCTTAATTCATATCTCTAACAGATGAGGAATGATGAAAAATCCATATTATCTCTGAGCTACTACAACTGAAAGCTTTGTGGCAGAATACTTTCCTAAAGGAACAAAAACCAAACACATCTTCAGCTCAGAAAGGAAGAAACGAGGCCTCTTCTCTCCAATCAATATTAAAAACGTTTTCCACACAATACTCGAAACCCCCACCTGCTGTTTGAACAGATTTAGAACTATAATGAAAACTAGGGAATTGTTTTACTCACCTAAACCAAGCGAGGCTGCATACTGTTGGCCAATTAAAGAATTGGCAGCAAGCTGGCTGTAGGGTGGCATGCCTCTGAAGGGACTGTAAGGCACATGTGACTGAAAAGAGGATGCTGAAGCAGAACTCAGGGACGACTGCAAAAGAAAAGCGCTATCAGGTTATGCTTTTAATAGTAAAAAGTTGCAAAAATCAATAAAGTAAAACATGTTCAACACATTCATGCTTGTTCTCCCAAAACATAGGGTGCCAGTAAACACCAGTCTAGACAACAATCTGCCTACTGGGTTGAGAAAAATCACTATCTGACCACTTATTTTATTTTTTATCCAAAGATAAACAGTTAAGAAACAGCCTAACTGGCAATGTAGTGACTATTATGATTCTAAACCATATATTTCTATTTCTATGTGTTGAAGGTCAATTGCTACTTCACTTAGGCAAGAAAAATGAAATGCAAGGATACAGAATTGGGGGGATGCCTGGCTCAACAGCAGCATGTGTGAAAAAGATCTTGGGCATCTTCGTGAACAAGTTAAACATGAGCCAACAATACCATGCGGCAAAAGCTTTCTAGTCTAGTGTCTAGATCCAGGAAAGTCATGCTACCCCTCTATTCTGCCTTGGTCAGACCACACCTTGAATACTGTGTCCAATTCTGGGCACCACAATTGAAGGGCGATGTCAACAAGCTGGAATGTGTCCGGGGGGGGGGGGGGGGGGGGCAACTAAAATGATCAAGGGTCTGGAGAATAAGACTTATGAGGAGCAGCTTAAAGAGTTGGGCATGTTTAGCCTGCAGAAGAAAAGGCTGAGACCAGACATGATGAGGGCCATGTATAAAGATGTGAGGGGAAGTCATAGGGAGGAGGGAGCAAGCTTGTTTTCTGCTGCCCTGGGGACTAGGACACGGAACAATGGCTTCAAACTACAAGAAAGGAAATTCCACCTTAACATTAGGAAGAAATTCCTAACTTTAAAGCTGTTCAGCAGTGGAACTCTTTGCCCCAGAGTGTGGTGGAGGCTCCTTCTTTGGAAGCTTTTAAACAGAGGATGGATGGCCATCTGTCGGGGGTGCTTTGAATGAGATTTTCCTGCTTTTTGGCAGGGGTTGGACTGGATAGCCCACAAGGTCTCTTCCAACTCTAGGATTCTATGATAGATAGATCTGGATAGCTGGCCTACCAGCCCCTAGGTCTGTCATGGCAAGAGGAGAAATTATGAAGGACAGCTGAGAAACAAATGAGAATATTTAGACACATGCTTTAAGTTCAGTGTACATACAAAATCAGCATAAGACAGTGAAAAATATGGTGAGACCAAAGATATAGAGACCTTACAGTTAAGTAGTTTTAGTTACCAGAGAGACAAAGGAGATCACCCAATTGTGCAACCAAAACTTTCTCTGTACAACTAGTGAGATGAAATTTGAACTATTCTACCTGGGGACCAGAGATTCTTGGCTTGGCTCCACCATCAAGGTACATCCTCTGCCTTGGGCTGAGGCTTTGCCTGACTCCCTTCTTCAAAAGCCCAATAGGATCTTTGTGCTAGATGTGTGGGACAGGGGTATTTGTCAGAGGAGGGAAGCTTGTTGCTGGCAACTGCATTTACAAAATCTCATTTTAAGTACAGATATAGTAAATCGGCTTCCATTTATACCTGGATCATTTCATAAAGGCAGACACTCCTTGTTCTTACTGGATGAGACCCAATCAGCTACACCCAGATGGAATTAGAACCCAGCTAAGTATCACTTTCATTTTGCTAGTAATCCCCAAAAGAACCATAGTGATCCAAGCTTATGTCGATAGAGGCTACCAATGACATTTCAGACAAAAGCACTTACTTGGACAATAGCAGGATCCTGGGGCAGATTATGCTGCGCTTTTGGAGGCTCACATACAGTGATATCTTTGATATCACTCCCTCGGAAGATGATATACTCATAAACCTCTTCCCTCGGGGGTGCCGGACGGTCTGTGGGTCGATCTTCCGTTCCAAAGGAGCGCACTTGTAGCATTTGAAGAAAAGCAAAGTGTTACTTGGCTTGAACAGAATATACTATTTTATTGCCTTTATACAGACACCTTCTAGGACTGTTTGAATTGCAATTTTAATTATAAAAGTACAACAGGAGCATTTTTAAAAAACTCAGAATTTCTGCTGACCTTGCCGGGTGTCATTTTTAAAATGACCTGGACATACCAAAATAACATAGAAATGTTATTTCAAAGCGTGATTTTGGCTACATTACTATTTTAAATCCAATTTCATTAGAGTTCTACATACATTCACGTGACCACAAAAATAGCACAGATGCAACATACTTAAAAAATTAATAGGACTAGCAACTATTTTCTCTTCAGTTAGGAATGAATTCCTAATCTTCTACCTCTTCTCTCTTAATCTAAATTGTGACACTTCATCAAAGTATGCAAGGGATCTTGTAGCATCTTAGAAACTGAGAGAATGAAGTTGGTAGCATAAGTTTTCATAGACTACATCTACGTAGTATCTGCATCTGAAGAAAGGAGGGTTGGTTTACAAAAGCTTATGCTATCAACTTCATTCTCTCAGACTTTAAAATGCTACAAGATGCCTTTGTCTCCTGATATTCCAGACTAATATGAGTACTTCTTTGATTTTGTCTATCATTTCAACATATTACTATTCAACACCAATAATCTTATTACCTTTGTTCTTTCTCAAAATATTTATTAGGGGCTTCTCCAAAAACTTGCTAACAACTTCTCTCTAATCAACCTAATCAGCTTATCCATCTGTGACAATTCATTCATCTTTAATAGGTGTAATGATTCTCTTCCATTTGTGAGAGTATCATAATCTTGCTGCCAGTCTGGTCAGTAGAAGTCAGTTAAAATCATCCACCCCAGATTTTGCCTCTACTTCTCAAATAAGCAGCATCTTTATTGTTTAGGATAATTACAAACTCTGTCCCTCCTCCTTCCACAGTGTAACTTGACTTGAAGCACTGAGGTCGTAACACAGGAGTCAAGGGAATGCACTTCATTAAGAGTCAAAAGATGCAAAAAGAGTGTTGCAAGGGAGAACTAAATCATGCCTAAAGGAAGCAGTTAGTATTGTACAAGACTACTGTATTAAAAAAGAACCCTCTCTGGATACTGCTTTATTGGACAATTACCACCCATTTCCAGACAATTCTTAACATTCTAGTTTTGGGCAAAACATGGGGAGATGTGGCTGTCAACTAGCTAGAGCAGTGGTTCTCAACCTGTGGGTCCCCAGATCTTTTGGCCTTCAACTCCCAGAAATCCTAACAGCTGGTAAATTGATTTCTGAGAGTTGTAGGCCAAAACACCTTGGGACTCACAGGTTGAGAACCACTGAGCTGGAGGGATTTCAGCACAGAATTATCTAGATCCATTTCAGGCCTGACTGTGGGATAGAGATGACTTTGGTCATCTTGATGAATAGAAAATGGATCTCCACTGGGAAGAGGAAATTTGTTCCACTGGGTCTCTAAGCAATTTTCAATACCATCAATCATAGTATCCTTCTGAGATATCTTCATGCGATGGGACATGCATGCATTGTTTCCATTCCTTCCTGGGAAAATGCAGAAGGCGGTGAGGAAGGACTCCCACCTGACCCCTTGACTGTTGGTCTGTAGTGTCCCTAAAAGTTTAAGCTTGGTATTCATGCTATTTAACGTATTCATGAAACCCTGAGAGTTCAATACTGAATTCTAGGACCTAGTGTGCGTCTGAAACCCAGTATGCGTCTGAAACCCAGCTCTACTACCCTTTTCTACCATAATCAAAAGAAATTATAAGTTTTAAATCAGTGTTCATTATCAGTAATGGACTAGATGAGGAGAAACTTATCCAGACAAAGGTGCTCCTGGTTAGTCAAAAGACAGATCAAGGAACAGATCAACTTGCACTGGATGAAGTCACACCCCTGAAGACTCAACATTTATCACACACAATCTATGTCAATGTATGCTTCTGGAATATGGACATACAGCCCGGAAAACTCACTATAACCCTAGCCCTAACTATGCCCTCTAACTGGGTGTTCATGGTTTAAGCGTATGCCTGGACTTGAATATGGAAGCTCAGAAGCCAGTAGTAGCTAAGAATGCATTTGCAGAGTTAAGGCTTGTGTTCCAGCTGGATCTGTTCCTAGAAATGTCGACCTAGTCAAGGTGACACATGTCTCTGCTCCACCATTGTTTGCATCACTGTGCTGTATTGTCTATTTTTGGTTTCTTTTGAATGGCCTTGCTTTCGTCTGTTTTTAATTTTCTTGTTAGCTTGATTAAATTTAATTTTTTGAATGATTTCAATTTTAAAGCTATCTCTGTTTTAGGCTTTGTAAGTCACCTGGAGTTATTTTTATTTATTTGTCGTGTCAGGGCAACCAGTCAATTATATTACATTTCTAACATAACAAAGCAAACAAACAGTCACCTGGAGTGCTAGGCTAGGAAAAGAAGAGAGAAAGATAAATGGAATCAGGTTCTTTCATAGCAGGGGACTGGAGTGGATGACCCTTCTGGTCTCTTCCAACTCCAGGATTCTATGATGCTATTCGACACAAAAACACCCTATGTTCCCTTGACTCAGGCTCAACAAGGGAGAATTAGTCAGTACAGACCAGTCTTGACCAATAAACACAATAAATGATTATTTTTCACAACTATTAAGATATGCCAGAAGCGATTTCTTTAAAAAGTTTTCCAACTAATCTATAAAGCACAGGATCATCTTCAAAAAGTTGTGGCCTGCTATGTGTGAAAAATATAACAGAAAACAATTGGCATAAAGTAGGTGTTTCTTTGCAGCCAACAAATATATATGGTTGTCCGTTTTCATATAGTGTAAAGTATATTTTCTGCTGGGCTGAACTAAAGTAACTTGTTTCAACTGCTATTGACAAGCAAATCTATTTTTCCAAATACAGTACTATAATGAAAATAGTGAGAAACACTATATCTGCACCATACAGGAATATGCTTAAGTAGTATGACTGAATATCTACCAGCCTTTTTGCTAGTCTGAACAGACACAAAAATCATACTATTTCTTCTAGGGCCAGTGGCATTGTAGTTTTAATGTCCATCATTACAAAAGGGTAGGGAGTGGGAACATCATACTCAGCAAAGATCAGAATGTCACAAATGGACAAAGTACACTCTGCTCTGTTGCTGCTGGACAAAAATAAGGTCACCATGAACTTTACTAGCCACAACACAGCTGCATCCCCACATCAGCTACCATCAGAAATTCCAGCATTCTTATGGGGAAAATATTTTTATGAGGGCTAATCAAAGCTCACAAAATGTACAAGATTCGATATCTCAAAATCTATTTCTCAGGCATATTACAAAAAGCAGGAGGTGGTGGTCAGAAATAAGTATGTATGTGTGGAGGTAGTTGGAGATCATAATGTTCATATCATTTGCATCACCAGCTTTCTTTTCTCTCCTCTCCACCAACTTTTTTGGTAACATCTTGAAAATTTGCAGATTTGTGATCTCTTAGTTGGCCTAGTGAAAGTATTACCTTAATATGGAATGTATTACAGTGAACTTCTGCATCAAAACTTATTCTCCTGTTTCCAGCTTCCTAAGGATGTGTAAGAATAGGGCAGATAAGGGTTAGCTGCAGGACAGTGCTATCCAAGGTGGTGGTCTCCGGATCAGTGCTGGTCCTTGGCAGGTTTCCAGAAAAGAAATTAACAACTATTGGGACCAATACATCGCCAGTCCCTGGCACACTGGAAACAATATCTGTTCCCACATATCAGATAGTCTGAAAAGCAGTGCTGTAGAAAATGAGGTACTAAACAGAAGAATGAAACATACTGAGTGATCAAGGGGGAAAAGAAATCACAGGCACTACTCTATGCAGCAATGAAACTCAGACAGTCATAAAACTGTCCTCCTTTTCTCGTCAGCACCTGAGTGTTAACAAGCTGTCGTCCCTCTATTTAATTGCAGGGAGAGCAGTAACTCTAAAAAGACCAGCTTCAACTTGCGCTCTCCTTGATCAACATGGAGGTCCTGAAATTAAGAGGTGCAGCATTCCTCAACAGAGTGCGGTTCACACCATTTGGACCAAACTACAAGCATTCATAACCATGGCCCATGTTGGCTGTGGGTATATAGGAGGTGCAATCCAAGTAGGAGGTATAAGCTGCTAAAATTATCTTTCAGGTGATAGATTCCTGCAGACAACATAATGTTGCCTTCTACTGGGTCAGGTCATTTATCCATCTTCTAGAGGGGAAGCAATCTCCGGCTACAGAGCTTAATCAGTTTCCATGTCCAGGTTGTAGAAATAAGTGGCAGGCTGTATACTCCTAGAGGCAATCCTAGAGGGAACCCTACTATCTCCTATCAGAAATCTGAGACAGGAGGGATTCTCTTTTTGACTTCAATCCCACTTTCTCTGCAAGGGGAATAACAGCAAACCCAACCAGGCAGATGACAGAACTTTGCTTCATCTCTGCCTTCTCCATCCAGGCGGGAAGGAAAAAAAGCAAGGCAAGTCCCTAAGCACCATTTGGAAAAGCTCTACTTTCCACTACAGTTAGGGACTTGATTACGCCAGGGAAGGGGCACAGTCCCCGATGTCTTCTAACTAGTGAGTGGGAAAAGCCTAATATTAATCTATCTTATTTTACCTCAGAAATTCCCCAAATTTGTAAGACAAGCAGATATCCTCCATAGTGTCTATTACCTTATGCCTTAACTTGCAGTATCATGGTTATGCATATGGAACTTTCTGCATAGAAAGCTAGTGTTTACCACTACCACTGAGCCACAGTCCATCCATAAGCAACTTGTATTTACGTTGCATGGAGAACTGTACAGTAAAGCTAATCAACCAAAGATCTAGTCCTCCCCAGGTAAGTATTTCTTTTTTCTGGACAAACTTCCTTTGCTATAGTCCCTGGCAGAGTTCTTGCTTTAATCACTTTAGCTGCTCTTTCCTATCTGCCCTGAATTAATGGCAAGTACA